ATTTCTTATCATCAGTGAGAACCTGTGACCCTCGTAGGATCAACGGACGACCATGTGCACGTTACTGTCTAACTTTAGATATTTTTAAGAAACCATTGTGTTAATTTAGTAATTTTTTTTTTAATATAAGACAATGAAAGGAGATGGTATCGACTGTTTTTTGAGAGGGAGAAGACGGTAGAAAATACGTCTGCCAAAAGGTCCCCCCTCTTTTTTGGACTATTTCCAACTCATAGCCTCTAGAGGGTCGAAGTGTGTTATGCACTCTTTATAGAGTGGCCGTCGGCTAAATGTAGCAAATTTCTAACTAGTTTATGTGCCGGACGGTGGATGAGTTAAAGCCGGGAGGATTCGGCACGGAGTGGGATAAATCCGTTTATCTGACAACTGTGATCTTTATTATGACGGGGAAAGAGGGATTGCCCGTAAGAGCGGAAGAGAGGCCTCGTCGATAAATCGGGCGTGTGTGAAAATTGAGCCGGAACACTTTCCTCCCGATAAGGAAGAACGAATCATTAGCTCTCACTTTTTCTTATATTTCTTAAACTTGATTGTATATTTTATTGGCACTTAATGAACTCTTTTATTCACGTTGTCGATCCGAATTGACGATTTTTTCCTGCCCGACATTCTTCAATCGCCGTCCTTTTTTCCCTGGCCGATTACGGTCAGACGATTTCATTCACCGCGGGTAGCTTATTCTCCACTCGATCCAGGCCTGCTTTGAAAAAAATAAAATGCAACGATAGGAAAATCTTGGAATGAAAGTTGAGAAGAAGAATGGTAAAGTGAGAGCGAAACTGTTAAGTAGTGATAGACAAAAAAAGTGAGAGTAAGAATGAATGTGAAGAAGATAGACAGGCAGGCAGAGTAAGGCAGAGCGAGACTTTTGCATCAAATTTCTCTTACGAATTTTGCTTTCAGATTAAATCTTAAGGAAAAGAAGGGATAATTCCGGATAAGAACCTATCCTCACTTCTTTTATTTTGATAAGTGACGATATTCTACTATTCTTAATTCCCGCTGTTATGCGGATCGGTCATGGTTTTCGCTCTTTTTCCGAATCCAAAGCCAGGCCGTGGCGAAGGGGCCGTTTCAGTGGCAAACAGGTACCGGCTCCTCCGTGAGATGGTAGCAAACGGTAGCAGTCACGAGTAGCTTGGGTCCCGGGCGTCTCGGGAATTATTACTTCATTCCCTCAGCTCGCCCATCTGTTATCACCTCACCTCGGGCCGTCCTTCTGTAAAAACGGCTCTTCTACTCGGAAATTATGACTGGCCGGTGTCGTCTCAGGTTCTACAAAATAAACGGAGTTGACCAATGACAAAACCTGCCGCATTACACGTATCCAAGATCTCAGATCATTTGATATCATTGGGGTTATTCTAACTGTTATTTGTTCAAAGGATTTTGATTTCTTTAAATGTTCTGACAATGGAATGAAAAACGTAGCTTTTCAACTTAAAAAAAAATTACCCAATTAATTTGAAACTAGGACGACTTAATAACTTTATACATAAATGGATCAATGGGTTTTGGTTCATGATAAAAGATGCTCAATCTATATAGATATCCTGGCCCAATGTTCCATGTTGAAAAATTGATACGGATCCTTTTTTTAATTTTAATTAAATAATTTAATTTTTTACTAAAAATAAACATTAATTACATTTAATTAAAATCATTGTCACTAAATTGTTCTGACATACAACTACGTACGTACGTAAAAAAATATACAGCAGATTTTCCCTTTTATATATGTCATATTGAATAATTTTATATGTAATAAAAAATACAGTTGTATTGTTTGAACCATTGAGACACATTTTCCAATTATTACCAAAATTTGAAAGTAGGAATTCATTTATTTCACGATTAAAAAAACTTCCAGTTGAGGAAACAGACATAGAGAAAGATATATGGATAGAGAAAGGGAGGAAAGATAAAGATAGAAGGAAAACGTGAGATTTAGATAGACAGATAGAAGAGCCAGGATGAGAAATTGAGAGAGAAAGAGAGAGAGTGAGAGAGAGAGATAGATAGAGAGAGCGCGCAAAAGGAACGTGAGATACATGCGCGCGCGCACACAGGCAGACAGACAGCCAGACAGACAGATAGATAGATAGACGAAGAAAGAGATAGTGTAAGACCGCAAAACAACACATTGCTTTCCCAAATATTCAATGTCTTGTTTTGCTGTCTTTCGCTCTCTCTTCATCTATCTCTCTGACTATCTGTGTGCGCCTGCATGTACCTAACGTTCCTTTTGCGCGCGCTCTCTCTCCCCCTCACTCACTCTCTCTCTCCCCCTCACTCACTCTCTCTCTCCCCCTCACTCACTCTCTCTCTCCCCTCAATTTCTCGCCAGATAGATAGATAGATAGATGAAGAAAGAGAGAGTGTCAGACAGCAAAACAAGACAGACGAGCGATAGAAATGCAGGGATGCTAGTGATTATGACCATTTTTTACTAAAAATAAACACTAATTACATTTAATCACAATCATTGTCACTAAATTGTTCTGACATACAACTACGTATCTACGTAAAAAAATATATATAGTAGATTTTCCCTTTTATTTATACGAAGACAGGAGACAGGCATAGAGAACGATATTTGGATGGAGAAAGGGAGGAAAGATAAAGATAGAAGGAAGAAGTGAGATATAGATAGACTGTAAGAGTAAGGATGAGAAAGCGAGAAACAGAGAGGGAGAGAGAGAGAGATGTATAGATAGCTAGAGGGAGAGCGCAAAAGGAAAGTGAGATACAAGTGCGCGCACAGACAGATAGATAGATGAGGGAAAGAGAGAGTGTCAGAGTAAAAAAAGACAAACGAGCGATAAATTAAAAATGCAAGGACAGTGATTGTGAAGATAGGACATTGATGATCGACAGATACATATATATATACCTTTTATAATAGGTGGTTTAGTCTAAACAGTTTAATTAAATCTTTATTACCCAATTAATTTAAAACTAGGACGATTTGATAACTTTATGCATTAATTATACAGAGATCGTGAGATGCGGTCTGGTGTGATGCAGGTTTCAGAAAAACATTTTCTTTATCGTGCCAACGTTTCGATCTTTATTGAGATCATCTTCAGGGCCTGGGGTTTACAAACATTGTTTAAATTTAACAAATACATGTAGGATGTAGAGAAAAGTGTAATCACCACACATTTATGCATTATAGATCAATGGGTTCATGATTAAAAAAAAATGATTTTCCCTTTTATATGTCAAATAGAAGAATTGTATGTATAATAAAAAATATAGTTGTGTTGTTTGAACAACTGAGACACATTTTTCAATTATTTCCAAAGTTCGATAGTAGGAATTCACTTATTTCACGATAAAAAAAACTTCCAATAGGGGGGGGGGAATAGAAATTTATCACCAAAACTACTGTCGCTATTCTCACAACTTATAGTGGCAGCTTGGAAAAATAAAAGGGAGTAAAATCGATGCCGTCTAGACGTGAGATGGGAGAGGAGAGAGGGCGAATGTTTCAACTTTCACCGTCGCATCGGGGAGAGATTATTTGTGACAAATACTGTTGTGACACTGGTGAAAGAGGGTAGATGTATTTGTCCCTATCTTGGCAAAGAGGGTGTCCCACCAGGCCGATAGGGGTGGTGTTTACTTATTTAGCCCTCTTGGGGTGGCGAAAACAGCTGATCCTCGCCTTTACCCACGATCCTTACCCTACGTACACACGTGCAATAATATATCAACTGAAACACGGGCGTTAATTCATAGGAGGGCTATGTCTATTTTGCCTCCCTTTTTATCATTCTATTTATCCCGTAACGGTAATTCGACCCTCTGTTTTCTCAGCTTATTGTTGGTCCTAATCTTTTATGCCACGCCCAGGCTAAATCATAAATACGAATTATGCATATCAAACTGAGTTAAATAACAAAGAGGTACTGGAAAAATAAATCACAACCTTATATCGCTCATATAAAATAAATGTGTATATAATAAAAAAAATTATAGCTGTATAGTTTAAACAATTGAGACACATTTAACAATTATTGCCAAGGTTTGAAAGTAGGAATTTGCTCATTTCACGATAAAAAAAATCCTATAGGGGGAAAATAGAAATATAACTAGAAAAATAAAACAAATTACTAACAGTGCCTGACAATTTCTTGTCTCGATCTTTCCTTATCTCCTAAATTAGGATCTCTCGGATTCCATCATATACAAAATCAATAAAAATGTAAATAAAAAAATACCGCTTTACTAATGTGTTCACAAACGAAAGGTTAACATTTGATTCAAGAAACCCAGATTTAAAAGGTTAATATTTTCAAAAAGAGAAAAAGGCTTGTCTTAAATACCAAGGAGCTCCTCACCAAAAGCTTACTGAAAACAATGTCTGTCATCTACAAAAATAACAGTTCAAATAAAATGATTAATTATTTAATCCTTCAACCAAAGTCATTCATTTAGATTGAAAATGAAATTGTAATAACCCAATTATATTTAATAATTATGATTTTAAATAGAGAGTTTTTAAAAGTTTTAATTAGAGAGAGTTTAAAAAGAGAGTTTAAAAAGAGAGAGAGAGAGAGAGAGAGAGAGAGAGAGAGAGAGAGACACAGAGAGAAGTGGGAAGAAAGGAAGCAATAGGGAGGCAGGAAACACACCAGAGAAAGATAGAGATAGAGAAAGGGAGGAAAGATAAAGATAGCAGGAAGAAATGAGATATAGATCTATAAAAGTGAGATATAGATGTATAAAAGTGAGGATGAGAAAGCGAGAAACTGAAAAGAGAGAGAGAGAGAGAGAGAGAGAGAGAGAGANTAAATACTTTATCGATCTATACCTATGTTGGCCCAACTTAGATTCTATTTCTGTATATAATTAACTTAAACGTATTGACTCATCTTGACATACAGTCTTGCCTGTTCATTTATTTTCTGCATTTAGCTGTTTTCCGTATCTAATTAATTATTTGTGTAGTTTAAAATTAATAATGCATTTACATGGTTCACCCTTCACGAAAATCGTCTGAAGAATCGTAGGAATGCAGCGCAGTGATTCATAATGAGTTCTGTTGTCAGTACACGTATGTCACAATGTACTGAATCACTCGGCGACTATGCGGAAGTTCAAGGATGAGATGTCGAATGTGTCCTTTCGTTGGCGCAGGGCAATTTAAAGGGAAGGTGGTTCCAGGGGGGCCCGTGACCCAGATGGACGGCCATTCCTCCAGAATCGGCACCAACACACTTGCAGAGTCCCTGTATTAACTAGCGGGGGATCTGAATCCTGTTAATTGCCGTCCGGCCACCAACGACGAGAAGGAGGAGGGATCGTCTCGAGGTTATAGCCACTGACCTTGTTATTCCTCCGATGACGATTAAAATAATGTGGGTGGAGCAGAAGGAAGCGACTGACTCACAACGTGTTTTCGGCCGCCTCGAGTTTGATTTATTCCCCCGGGACCCCCCGGCAGAGGTCCCAGGCCGTCCCACAGATGTCCGCGATCGGAACGTACAAGGTTTCCAAACCCCCGGCAATTGTTATTTACTGCATCATAAATAACGCGTAAATAAAAGCCAAGTACCTGGAGGACAACCTAGGGTTAATAACCCGCGATGTCTATCTCTAATGGCGATATCTCGCTACACTTAAAGCCGGTGTAAAGATTTTTCCTTATTATTTATGTCAAGCTGTAGACGACTCAGGAGGTCAAGATTCTCGAAAAAAAAACGAAACATTTCGCATAACTGGGCTCTTTACATCCTGGGCTCAGTCAGCATAACTAGCACTATTATCGAGCACCTGATGGAAGAGTACTTAGACATTTCTCCCTGTCTAAATACAGTTTGATATAATTGTTTGTAATGTGGAGATATATGGGGGCAACATTAAACTAGAACATTGCAATAAACTACACGAATATTATTATCCTTCAATTTCATTAAAGTTACGTAGTGAACAATGATGGTTTAGGATACCATAAATCAGCTTCTTTATGACCTTGCGCAGTGGAACAATTTTTTTCTTTTGTTCAATCTCCATCATCGTCTCGAGCTCCTCGTTAGGCTTAAGGCTTTTTACCAAATCCCATAGGATTTAGGGACCTCTCTCCCAGGCATAAATCAGGCAGTAGCTCGTTGAATGGAACGATATACTAGGCAAAATGTATTTATAGACAGATTGACATATATTTATCGTAAATTTAGATATTTTGGATAGAAGATGCACTTACGTAACAAATAGAAATCCATAAAGAAGGTGAGAGAGAGGCATGGATAGTTAAATAGATATATGGATAGAGAATGGATGGGTAAACCCCCCACACAACCATGCGCATACGCACAAACCACACACACTAAAATTGTTATCTTTATTCCTCTTTACTTTATAGTTCTATAAATACCGTACACACCACGCCCAACACCCACCTACATTCCGTACCTAAGTGTACGTTCATTTGGTATGTACTTAGGGAAGAACTAACCCCCTTTTATGCTTTTTTTTTGCATATCTGTAGATCACTTTAATTATTTAAAAAAATGGATATTATAATATGATCGTTAGTGAGATCTGGAGCAAATTGAAAATCTCACTAATTATGATTATACCAAAGAATTATAAAAATTTACTTAATTTTTTCAGTCAAAATTGTATATTTATTCTTGGTCGATGTGCTATATATCAACAGCTAGGCTGAAAGTGGCTAGGTTTTGTCATTTCCTCATTGTTTCCCAAATAAGTCATGGAGAAAGAGAGTCCCACGAAGATTTCTTTCTTTGCACATAAATCTGTCGTCATCGTGTTTTTCCCACGTTTACTAAATACTTGGATTACTTTATAATTGGAGGTTGTAAAATCAAGACTGTCTGGAAAACCTCCATCTTTGTGTAAAACCCATTTGTATTTGCACAGTGTTATATATACATTAATCAAAGAAACTCACCGATTCTCTGTAATTGTACTGCTCTTGTTTGTGAAGAAAAATTAATCATTTGGTGTTAACTACTGACCGTTAACTGAGATAATATAAAAGATGCTGATAGAACTGTAGTGGAGTGTATAAAAAAACCAGGGGGTCTTTGAAATCATAATAGCTCATGATTAGGTTAATGTATTATAATTTACGGTGGGTTTTGCCCTTATTGGACTAGGAATTTCCGTAAATCCTATACGGCCGACTAGCCTTGTCCGTGGTCTCGCGGACTCCTAAAATGGGAAGCACACTTACCCACTTCACACCGAGTTTATAACCCGGGCGTGTCCGTTCTTCCCGGTACTATGAAAATCGTTTCGAGGAAGCGGAAACGCAATGATGAATGATCCGTAGAATAGGGTAATGATGGTTACAGGGTAAAAGATAAAAGTGGTAACGCCGTCCGGGACAGGGATTGAGCTGTAGCACAAGTCGGCTCCCAAATTAAGGCTGATGTACTGCTCCACGTATAAATATATGATAATGCGTATAATTAAAAGGAAGTCTTTGGAATGCGGTCGGGGTGCTTCCTCGGTGTGTAGTTTAGAAAATTGATTTCATCATTGGTAGCTTCTTAATTATTGACCGCCTAATACCGCCCTGGGAACCGCTCCGAGATGTTTATAAATTGAAGATTACTTGTCATTGTACTGAATAGCTAATGTGGGAAACTAACTTTTACTTTTACTCCGTTGTTAACGCAATAAAATAACTTTCGAAATACATTTTTTTCCGCGATTGTTTAAGTCGGACGCGTTCTTTAACGCCCGCACCATAAACCTTCGCAGTATCATCCTTATATACTAAAAATATTAACTTTAATTTATTTACAGTTCATCGGCGAAGATTATCAAATACGTAGCCATATATGTCTCTGTCAAAACTTAGGCACTGCAAGAACAATCGGACCCAGAAAGGAAGGTATCATATAGAGCAGTCAGGAATGCAGATAAAGGTGGGATAGGGTCCATAGTAATTAAATTTCTTTTTTTTCCTTTGGGAACGAAACATTCTCAACATTCTCTTCACCCTAAGAAGAGAATAAAACATGCAAAGTATTGACAATACATATATACAAAATTAAAATAAATTTGACGTACAGTTTCATACAGCAAAGACAACAATTGGTTTTAAATTCTTTGTAAATAAAATAGATAAATTATATAAACTTTAGTATTTGTTTATAATACGAATGTCCCTCCTACAGGATAGTTTTTAATTTTTTTTTAACTAGATGGAAGGTAAAAATTAATACATCCAAAATGAGCTGCATTGTTTTCACTAAACGTAGGCCTCAGCTATCCCACAATATTTCACTTGGGGAAAAGTCTGTTAATTGGTTCAAGGACCAATACCTACATATGTATAGAAACGTATATGTGTATAACACTCGACTCAAATTTCAATTTTGGTCCACACATAAACAATCTTATAGTCAAAGGCCAAGCGGTAATATGGCTACTTTTTCCTTTGCTCAGTTGACAGTCTGTATGCCGATGTTATATGCGTGTCCAGCACGTAATTTCAGTAACACATCAAACATTAATAAGTTACAATAGATTCAACATAAATTTTTGCAGCTGGCCACTGCTTCTGCCAGAAATTTAAGGCTGACTGAGTCCCTTGACTCTTCTCTTTGAAATTTAAAGTTGAAATCTCCATACTTTTGATGGACAACCAGGTGAATGCACATGTAATATTGTAATCCCATTATTTTCGGGAAAGAGTGCCAGAATTGTAGATTTTTTTGTGTATAAACGGGTCGCTTGTAATAAAATACCCTGTACAATTTTGTTTACATGGAAACAAACACTTTGAGCCCTGAAGATGATCTCAATAATGATCGAAACGTTGGCACGATAAAGAAAATGTTTTTGTGTCATTCTTGTGTGTCGTGTTAAGAGTGACTTGATTTTGAATTTTCTTTGCTTAAAGTAATACTGATGAAAACAAATGAATCTATGGCGTTGTCACTTATTTTTCCAATGGTTTATTCAAATTTACAGTAAGATTAACATTTTACAAGGAGCCTTTATGGAATAAAGCTGTGAAAGGTTGAATCTACCCGAAAAGTGAAATATCTCGAATACAATTGAGAATCAGACTTTGGACAATAAAGACTCTAGTGGTATTCACCATCTTTGTGTTAACCCTGTTTACTCTGTTAGGTCCTGTTAGATCGAGAAAAATGATGACGTAAACTTGTTAGAATCGGCTAGTTAACATTCTCGATCTAACAGGCCAGAGCCAATCTTAGATGGCCGAAAATGTAGTCAGTCACATTGCTATCCGTTAGGGCGTAGGCAACCAACATGGCAGCCATGAATTTAACAGCTATTTTTTGTTTACACGTATTTTTATTTTCAAATACTCATTAATTAAATCAGATCAATACATTTCTTTTATTAATTTCTGACCTGTCCTTATACTCTCATTCAAGTAGATACATCCCCTATCCTAAAAAATTGTAGGAAGTTAGAGGTTAGGATACAAGTTAGGTATGCCGGCATCTATTGAAGCGTGTCATTTGTGAGTACTTTTCGAGTGCATAGATAGCATTTTGAATGAAAGAGTTGATTAATTTTCCTTTTTTATTAACTTCTGCCATCTTACAATTTAACACAAAACAAAACCATAACAAACCACAACAAGTCTTCAAGGACTGTTGTAGCTTTATTTTTGGTTCTACCAATTGCCACGCGCAGCGTTACGGAAAAATTAATGTTTAACATGCTAAGAAAAGAAGGATTGTTCACGATCTTACTGGACATTTCTCTATTCGCGTTAACACGAGTTAATCTTACAAACATCGTGAATACCCCTTCTTTCATACAATTTGTCATGTAGAATAACCGTCTGGACAATCAAAGTCTGTTCACGAGCCACTATGTATAGGGTAGGCTATTTATACTATAATACATTTGTAGTATAATGTGAACTGTCAGTGAAGAGATTGAGGCTGATTTTCACCTAAACCCTCTATCGCTGGGTTTAAGATTGCTAACCGTTAAGTAGGGGTGGTCGAACGAAAAACATCATGTTTTGCCTGCCTGTGTCTGTTATTTAGCTCTATCAGACACGTTTCGTCTCTTCAGATTTTGTTACTTTGTCAATCATGCCTTTTACATATCGTGTCTATTGCTTTTGTTGCTTGGCAGTCAAGTTGAAAATGCGTGGGTCTGCTAACATTTTATTTGCCCAAATCTTGAAACGGATTAAGATCGATACAAGGAGATTATTGTGCCTTGTCTTCAGAAAACAGTGACAAAGGATGAAATGGTAGATGAGTGATAATTGAAATGTAGACCTTGTCTATACGAACAAGGTCTGAGAAGGAGTTAAGTTGTAAATGGAGTGAAATTATTGTCGTCGGTCTTGTAAGCCAAATCGCGTCGGCTGATTTACATATAAGAACTTTATCGGCTTAGCGTCTCCTCGGAGTTGGAGGCTCCCATGTAGCGACAAGATTGAGGAATTCCAGTTAAGAAGGAAAACGATTTACGTTTCGGCGTCTCTGTACGTATTTATAAGCGGCCACCGGGTTGTCTGACCTTGCTTTGTGCATGGCACATTAATATGATAAATGTTGCGTATCGCTCGAGCGAGGGGAGGGAAACTTTAAATAAACCTCAGACCGTAGTGCCGAGTCAGAACCCTAAATAGATAATTAACTGTGATTGGATGTAAAGTTCAGTAAACGGTGGATTTTAAATGCGGGCGAATGTCGCATCCCATCGGAGGATGATG